GCCTGAACTCTTTATTTTTTAAGAATAAAATTTAAAATATATCCACAAATGGTCTCTGGAAAAACAAAAGTGTTAAGGTTGATTTCTTGACAGCTATAGCTGACATTTCTAGTTTACCAATCTTCCAGAAAACAGATGCTTATAATGAATATACTGCTTAGTAGTTATTTGATATTTGAAGTAAATATACTTACTTAACAAGGAAATATGCCAGATCAGACATTTTAAAGTTTTAAATATGAACTAAATTTTAAACTATAAATACTTACCTTGAAATACTAAAATTCCTAATACCATCGATTCAGTAAGAACTCTGGCATAGAAAAATGTAAATACAACTCAAATTCTTTTCTAACTGGAGCTGAATCTCCAATACAAAAAAAGGGGGGAAAATCTGCTATCATCACAAAGTTCCCCAAACCATCTGTAAACACCAAGGAATTCTATTATTCTTTCCAAATTCTCTCAATTTCCATATCTTTCTACTTATAGTGTTTTATGTTCAATACAGTATAATTACATGCTGCATACATTGATTTTGCTGCTTAATTCTGCTGATTAATTCAAGATAAAATTCTTAGTACTTACCAAGACACTTTAAATTTCTATGAGATAACCATTAGTATGCTATTGGTTTGTAGTTAAAAGTACAAAAATTGGAAGAGAAGAGGCTAAAATGCAACTGCATGGTTTCACAAATGTGACTGCTGGGCTGTGTGTCATGATGTAAAATCTATTGTTTTATCTTTCCAAATGAAACAGACTACAAATATTCTCTTACCTGCTGCCAATTAAAAATTTCTTCACAACTTTAAAAAGAGAATAAGTACTTTCAGAACTTAAAAAAAAATTCATAACATACATATACACATACAAACACACACTCACACACAGTTTTTGTTGCTGTTCTTTTCTGTCTTGTAAGAATCAAAATTGGATATTTCCAAGGATGAATTAGATAACTATTTGTATTAAGACTATATCACTATGGATGAGTTCAGGAGAGCTTTTGAAATACTGGCCTTATTAGATAATCAAAAGCATGAAAATTATACAAAATGAGAAGAGTAAAATATCTCAAGGTAAAAATATAGAATTGGCAACAAATATATCAGTTTTAAATCAAAGCTTCTTATCAAATCAGTCTTCAATCCAGTTATCACGATGACGCACTCTGAAAATATTCACCTTCTTTTCTAAGACATCAGAAGTCACCAAAGTTGTAAATTCTGAAATGTTTCAATAATTTACGTAGCAGATAATTTTTTACAGTCCATATTTTTTTTTCCTTCCATAGACAATGCTGGTTCTTTGGGTTCTTGCTTAACTTGGCTCACAGAAATGATACCTTCTGGATTTTCTTCGACTTTAAAACCAAACATAAAAGAAAAATCCTAAAGGTTAATATATTTCATGACACTGGAATCATTAGAATTATATGAATTTAGATGCAAAGCAAAAACCAGTAGTTTGGAAAAAGAACCAAATAATTGAGAAAAGTAGTTGGCATATTTGAAAACTCTGTTTCTGACATCTTAACAGTTATTCATTATTAAATTGTCAGTATGCTTCTGGCAATGAAAAACAGAAGAGAAAAGAAAACTATAAAGTTATTCTCTTCTACAGATACCATGACAAAAAAGAAGTCCATACTTTGATAAAATTATGAGGAACATCTCATATTTAAACTTAGCCATTTAAAAAAATATGTGTGAATAAAAGCCAGGAAGCCTCCCATCATTTGAAAATGATTTGTTTTGCAAACAGCAGGCATATGTATTACAAATTCATAGATATGTTACTCCTATATGGTTTCCATATGTGGTCATATATCAAGAAAATGTTCACTCCCTTAAGGACCTTAATTAACTACATTAGAAAAAACACCCCACATCTTAAATGTGACTTAGCTGTACGAGCCATGTGTTTGCTCATCTGAAACATTTAAGAACGCACTTACCACTCTGCTTTCAAAATATTTATGACCAAACTAATGTAGCAGACCAGCAGCACTATTTTGAGCTGGGAATTGTGATGTCTAAGATCAAATTTCCATCTCTCTTTTTTAGGAATATCAGTTTTTCAATTGCTATAGGAAACAGAAGTTAAGGCAACTGTGTTTGGTCAGACAAGTGTGTTGAACATGCCTAATGCTTGTCACATATGGGTGTTTAGCTCACGACATAGATGACCAACAGAGTATGAATTTGAGTGACCCACAGAACTCACATCCAGCCTTTCAGATTATCTTCTAACTTGATAAATCATGCAAATTTGGACCCAAAGAGGGTCTCCTTTAAAGCATTCCGGATTAGAGCTCCCAAGAAATAGGTGGCACAACACAGAGGGGGAAAGTATTTAGAGTGGGGGAAAAAAAAACTTTGGAAAGTAGACAAATCTAGGTTTAAATCCCCCTCTTTCACTTACTAGATGTGAGCTTCAGGCAATTACTTAATCTCTCTAAGACTTTGTTTCTCCATCTGTCGAATGGGGACACCACTAAGTATTTCTTGGATTTGTAAGAATTAATTCAAGTATATTCCTTTTTCTTCCTGTCTACTAAAGTTCCTCAGTATTACTATCATATTCCTCAGGATAAATTTTCTTAAAAGTAATGTTTCCAATAAATTTTTTTTTTTTTTTTGAGACAGAGTCTCGCTTT